TATGGATGCCCATTTCCTCTCGTGACTTAGCATAAAACATAAAACTTTCAATATTTTTGAATTAGTTATCTCCTTTCTTTAATTTAGTATATAATTACTTCTGACTTAATAGCATCTTAAGATTTTTACATTAGAGCCATTCACCATGATACAACATCGTTCCTCAATATTTTGACATTTCACATAATTTTAAACATTGGATCTTATTACCTTGGATTTAATGTTTTTGACTTAGCATCTTTATCATTAAAATTTGTTATGAACCGTTTATTTGTTGTGTTAAGGAAGTGCATTTAGTCAAGCATTGTGATTAAGATAATAGAAAGGTTGTACTTGTACTTTAATTGAGTATGTTCACATTATGCTACTTAATACTTTTACTCCACTACATTTTGTTGGCAAATGTTGTATTTTTTTACTCCACTGCATTTATTTTACAGATGTATTTACTTGCTACATTGCAGATAATTAATACAAAATATAGATCAATGTATACATTATTATATATTATCATATGTTAAGCTACCCAATGGTATACATTAATTCAAATAAACCGCACATTTACCAAGTGCAACATTAAAGTGATGAAAAGGCTCATACATCAATAATTATAATACAATTATAACAAATATATTGTGCATAGATGTTGCTTAAATTGGTCTATTCTGCAAAACGAGTGCGGAGGAGCCTGAATGTGCGGTTTGTTTTTAGCCTTCGATTTCCTGCTAAGGCCTTTTTGTTCCTCCGCCCACGCCGTAGATCCTCAATCACATGACCAGTTTCCATTTCCTGTTACTATTGAATCGATTGTATCACACTTCCATGTTTTTCGTCTCAAACAGCAAACGTTATGTAAACCACAGACGTTGTCACTGTCGTGTGATTTGTCGCACATATAAAGTTACTGAACACGTCCCGTCACCGCAGAGGGAAACAACATGGCGACCAACTGTGTGGTTTTCCAGAGCAAGTTAACCTCCATCATGGAGATCTTCGCTAAAGCTGCTGTGGTGGAGATCAGTAAACTGTGGGAGGACGGGTTCAACCTTGTTCAGGTGGAGTTGCGCCGCAGAGAGAGCGAGATTGAAGTGCTGAACAGAAAGCTGCTGATGATGGAAAAAGAGCGGTGTCACACTACAAGTCTGTCTTCATCATCATCATCTTCCTCACCATCTTCCTCCAAAAGAGAGCAACAGAACGTGCTGCTGCCGCCCAACGGTGATGGTAAGGATGACGATCAGAGGTGGAAAAAGTACTCAGATCTTGTACAAAAGTAAAAGTATTAGAGTGTAGGAATACTCTGTTACAACAAGTTAAATGCATGCAGTCGAAATGCAACTACAGTGGGTGAATATAGTTGTAAAAGAGGAAGAGGAGAAGAACCTTTTCCAATCAAGTGACTCAGAATCCATCACAAGCAGAATACTTTATTTATCTCAGGGGAGAATTAGGTTTTGTGCACCATTTTTAGAAAATGAATAAATATTTCTATACACATCAGAAGTTGATGTAAAAATGTGCAACAGGGACTTGGGGTCTGTGCAGTTTAGGGAGAAGTACTCCGATTCTTTACTGAAGGAAAAGTAGCAATACCTAATTTTAAATGTACTTTGTTACAAGTAAAAGTCCTGCTTTCAAAAATATTAAGTAAAATTACAAAAGTATCAGCATCAACAGTACCAAAAGTAAAAATACTCATTCTGCAGATTGGTCCATTTCAGAATAATATATATGATATGTTTTATAATGATTGATCATTAAAGTGTCATCAAAGCTGGTAAAGGCAGCTAGTTTGTATGACTTTGTATACTGCAGGGTAGCTTGTGAATTTACTCCAGGTGGAACTAAAGTCTGATTTAAGACTTGATTATATTTCACATCATTAATCAAAATATGCATAGTAACTAAAGGTATTACATAAATGTAGTGGAGAAAAAGTACACAATTTACCTCTGACTCGTAGTAGAAGTACACAGTAGTACAACATTGAAATATTAAGTTAAGTCCCTCAGAATTGTACTTGAGTACAGTACTGGAGTAAATCTACTAAGTTACTTTACACCACTGCTAACGATAAATAATAAAGAATGTACTGGAGTAAAAGTAGAAATACCAGAGTGTAGAAATACTCTGGTACAAATAAAAGTCCTGCATTCAAAATGTTACTAGTGCAAACGTGTTTTCACATGAGACAATACACATGAGGTGTGCAACTTAACAGATATATTCTAGAGTTGAAACAAAACGTCATTGTGTCCATCATCACGTTATTTATCAGGCAAAAATGTCAAACATTGAGGTCTTGGTGATTTTCTCATGGATTTTCTCTGTGATATTATGAAACCGTACCGAGACTACCCGTTTGACACTTTTACAACTGTTTATAGTTATAGTAGTCTACCTGCTACCACTATCTGTAGTACATGTTTACTGTGCAGGGTTCTTACGGTCATTAAAAACCTGGAAAAGTCATGGGAATTCAAAATGCAAATTCCAGGCCCTGGAAAAGTCATGGAAATGTAACTAAAGTTGCATCAAATATAATTTACATTTGATCTAATTGCCGAAATAGTAATACTATAATGATAATAAATACTGTATCGTATAGTAATGAAACGTAAAATGGCATTTAACTGACGAGGTGTTTTGCTGGTGAGAGATTTTAGTTGCTTTAGTCTGTAGAAGCTAGTTAGCCTATTTGATTTGTTTTAGATCGGCACAACATGTTTCATATGCAGAGCTTATTTTCCTGTTCCATGTTAAAATAAACCATTTTCAGTGGTACCGCTGAAAAAAATAGTAATTTTTTTGGTCATGGAAAATTAGGTAAAGGTCATGGAGAAGTCATTGAAAATCATTGGTAAAAAGTGTATGAAACCTGACTGTGTTCGTTATGTCTCAGCCACAGACACCACAAGTCTGGCAGAAACACCTAAACTGGTTGATCTGAAAGCTTTGAAACCTCACTTGAAATTTAAATAGTTTCACCTTCGCACATACTACCAGAATCATCCTAATTTAACAGCTCACTTGTGTACCAGTCTTTGTAAACTAACTACAGTTGAATTTAGCAAAATTGGCACACCTGTCACATAGAAAAAAATATCTTTACAACAATATTTTGCAATGGAGCCGTCTGATTAAATGCCTGTTTTAAAATGCACCTGCTTTGTCATTTCAGGGCCGATTATAGATTCAGTGCAGACATTGTGTTCTGATCAGAGCGTCAGAGAGAAGGCGGACACTTCAGCGAATCACCAAACGTCGCCATCACAGACAGAAGAGATACAATGTGAGCAGCTCAAGTCGGACCTCTGTTTGAGTGACGATGATGACGATGAAGACCTAATAGTGAAACTCGAGGACGAGGACGACGTTCAGATCTTGGAGCAGAATGTGGAAACGGATCACAGCGTTAACGATGGTCCCCTTGAGCTGGAGGTGGACCTCCAACCTGTCGAGGCGATGGAGGAACAAGAGAGCCAGCAGTGGTCGTCTGTTTCCGTGGGAGACAGCGACACTGCGGACGACTCGGACTGCTTCTTTGAGCCGAAGCAGCTGGCACAACATCTGGACTCAGAAATCCTGCTCATTCAGAACGCTTTGGACATTTTTGAAAGTTCCTCCGAGGCAGCGTACTCGGACAGGTTTACGAGGGATGATGGACAAGGTGCATCGAGTAAATCAACCATGACTTTAAGCCAAGCTCAGCCGAGTCAAACTACAGAAGCGATACACCCAGAGAGAGGAGTGTCCATCAGGTTCTGCCCAGATAAACAATCTCCAACTAAAGACTTATCAGCTTTTAACCCGGACAGCCGATTCTTTCTTTTTAACGACCCCGAGTTGCATAAAACGATAGCGAGTGGCCGCATTAAGGAGAAGTGGTACATCTGCCCGTTCTGCGGTAAAAGCTTCGATCGCGTCAGCCATCTGGAGATTCATCAGAGGATTCACACGGGAGAGAAACCGTACACATGCGAGACGTGTGGAAAGTGCTTCTCTCAGAGGAGCAACCTGCGCACTCACCAGCGGACTCACAGAGAGGCTCTTTCCCAAAACGCAGTTTGAAGATTGTTGTGAGAAAATATGTGTGTCGAGATGAACTAACCAATTCCCTTTTTATAACACTAAAGAGTAATGTAGCGGACTGATTTTACTGTGCATTTGGTCTTTATTTTAAAATATATTTTAACTTTGACATAGGTTGGAGTGTAAAGACTCATTTTTGGACTTGTGTAGTTCGTTAACCCAGCCAGTTAAGAGATTCATAGACAAAAACATGTGGGGACATCCCGCACCTCCCGCAAGATGGTAAACCTTGCAAATGTACACATGAACATTATTTCAGTTATCAGAAATCATGAGGATGTTAACCTGTAAAGCAGGAAATCTAATATAAGTTTTAAAAAATGCGTTTCTGCAGCAGCTGTGATCTATGATCCCGCTATCTTCATGTTTGATGTAACAAAAACTAAATAGTTTGACGTTTTTTAATAAAGAACAACGACTCATACGCTGTACTTTTACAAATAAACCTTTTAACATTTATATGTCTCTTTTTCAATTTCATAGAAAAACACTGAGTAAATAAACAAAAAATGTACATTTCGACACAACCGGGACGCTGATACAGATCGTTGCTCTGCTGTTTGGGTCTGGATACCAGTTAGCTGTTTGGGTCTGGATACCAGTTAGCTGTTTGGGTCTGGATACCAGTTAGCTGTTTGGGTCTGGATACCAGTTAGCTGTTTGGGTCTGGATACCAGTTAGCTGCTTGGGTCTGGATACCAGTTAGCTGTTTGGGTCTGGATACCAGTTAGCTGTTTGGGTCTGGATACCAGTTAGCTGTTTGGGTCTGGATACCAGTTAGCTGTTTGGGTCTGGATACCAGTTAGCTGNCTAATGGTTACACAAGCCAACACATCGTTATGACATCATAAAGTGGCCAAAATCTGATCAGCTCATTTTCAGACAGGTTTTTATAAAAATGGAACTTTCAGAGTCTCTTTCCACAGAGGGGACACATGCTGATGTAGAAGAGACATGAACAAGTGGATTTTGCATAATAGGTGACCTTTAAGCGCTCAAATTGGACGACCCATAGCCGGCTGGTTGGGATAAATAACTGTTTGGCTAAAACGCCCTGATCAGAGATTTCCCAGATCAGTTTGATTCCCAGCTGGCCAACAGTTTGCTGCATATCGTTCCCCTTCTCTTTTCCCCCACAGTCGTTTTCACGACCAAAGAAAAAGGTATAAAATGCCGCCCCCCTCCCCCCCAAAAAAAAGTCCCAATTAATGTCATGAGGATAAAGGATAAACAACTTACAAGCCAGAGGCAAAATATTCAAGTTTGGATCTATCCTGGGGGAAATTACCCCGTGCAGTCAATGTATACAAAACAAACATCCCGTTTGAAAAAGAAAAAGGTCCTTTTAGATGCAGGAATGCCGGCTCCTTTCATGTTCAGTGTTTGGATGATCTGTTCTAGATGATCTGTCCTCGGGGGTGCAGCAGGATGGCGTTGGAGTGCGGCTTCGGCCTGAGGATCCCGTTGCTGTAGTAGAAGTGGTTGTTGAGGGCCTCTGAGATGTGGTAGGAGCTGCTGCCCACCACCTCCTCCTCGTGCCCCTCCACCACCGGGGGAGGGGGCCAGTCCTCTCCCACCCCCTGTGGAGAGTCTCCCTCTCTGGGGGGGGCCGGGTCCGGCTGCGTGGGCCCATCGCCTTCGTCCTGCTGGGCCTTCAGGGGAACCAGGGAAGAGGGCAGACCTGAGTCCTGGTTTAGACAGCATAAAAACACATTACTGTTTCTCTGATGATAAAAGGTCTGGGTGTAGAAACAATTTACGCCTATGCCTTTTCATAAATTAAAATGGTACAAAAGTCCTTCGTTAAATGTAACTGACAATATACAATGATCTGAAAACACTGGGGGTGAAATGTATTCAGATACTTAACTTAAAAAACCACAAACACACAAAGAAAAAACCGCATTAATCTTAAGACACTTACTGTGTTCAAAGTAGCAATAAAGACTAAATACGGTTATGATGCGTTCACTGGAATCAGTCCAAAAGTTTAGACCACATGTATACTTGTACATAAATCAAAGAAAAGGTGATGATTTGAAAACAGACAGAGCTAACCAGACAAAGAACTTGTACTAAAAATAATCCCAGCTGCTGAATATGGAGTTTGTCTGCAGTGTGTCATCTCCTGTTCCTAAGAATATCTCTGACAGTGATGATGCCAATATGGCAGTAAGTAAAACACGATACTGTGTGACACATCAGCAGCGAAACTGGCTGCTTCATGGAGTAACCCCTCAGGTGCTGACACATACCAGCGACATGTTGCTGTTCTTCAGGTACGACTCCACCCTCCTCCTGCGCTCCTCCTTCTCCTCCAGCTCTGCTCCCCTCAGGCTCTCCCTGCCGTTTTGCCAGACAACGGGACGTCCCAGTTCGTCCACCTCCACCACCCCCCCCGAGGGCCCCCACTTCCCCCCCAGAGTGGACTGGCTGCCTCGGTAGATGGGCTGTTCCTAAAAGGGAGCGGACCCAAACAGTCACAACACTGAGAACAGCTGTTTGAACCTCAACCTGAGCTTTTGAAAGAACACACATAACATTCATCTGTCTGCAACTCATATATATCAATATTCCAATTATCATAGACTATTCTGCACTGTTTCTATTATATTCTGTTTCTATTATATTCTGTTTCTTTTCTGTACTGTTTCTATTATATTCTGTTTCTATTATATTCTGTTTCTATTATAGAGGGTTCAAACACTTTTTCACCAATGATTCTCCATGACCTTTACCTAATTTTCCATTACCAAATAAATTACTCTTTCTCAGCGTACCACTGAAAATGGTTTATTTTAACATGGTAAGCTAGAAAATAAGGTCTGCATATGAAACATGTTGAGCCGATCTAAAATAAATCAAATAGTCGGCTTACTAGCTTCTACAGACTAAAGCCACTAAAATGTCTCACCAGCAAAACACCTCGTCAGTTAAATGCCATTTTACGTTTCATTACTATACGATTCAGTATTTATTATCATTATAGTATAACTATTTCCGCGATTAGCTAAAATATAAATTATATTTGATGCAACTTTAGTTATATTTCCATCACTTTTGCAAAAATTTGGGAAAAATATTGTTTTCCAAAACTTTTCCAGAGCTTGGAATTTGCATTTAGAATTTCCATGACTTTTCCAGGTTTTTAATGACCGTAAGAACCCGGATTATATTCTGTTTCTATTATATTTTATTTACTTATACTATTTTATTGTGTTGCACTGTTGGAGGAGCCTGTGACCTAAGATTTTCAATCATAACTACACTGTAGCTATGCACACATGACAATAAAAGCCTTGAAACTTGAAACTTTGACTCGTCTCAACAATACCAATTGAGCCACTGTAAATATTTATCATTGGTTGCTTTTTAAATTAATCATTTCAAAAAAAATAAAAAAATAACTGTGTGTTATCTTGGAGGAAAGAAAGCAAGCAAAACCACGTTTTTGGTACACATTTGACAGTTTTCATTCAAAATGTGGAAAATCGATCCTCAAGACCAGATGTTTCTTACTTTCACAGTGAAAAATGCTTTAAAGACAATTCTGTCTTTGAATAGGACGTGATGTTGCCATTGAATCCAGAATACTGAATGAAGAATATTGAGTAACAGGACTTCTGGTAAATCAGTATGGACAGTATGTTTGACAGCAGATGGATAATCTTTAATTTATGCAAAGTTTGGAAAGAACAGTATGTTGTTTGGATAAAATCTAAATGAATAGCTGGATGGTCAGGGTTTCCGGCAAATGATTACTTTCTCTACCAGATCAATTTGAGGAGAGGTCCGCCTTCAACAGTGTTTTCAATAGGTAAGAGGGAGGCCTTTTGCAAGATGGGGTCTCATGTCATGAAACGTTCAGAGACTACTAAATGTCATAGAGTGTTGGACTCACCAGAGAGTTTTCGCTGTTTTTCATTCGGCTGTCTACTCTGAGCAGGCCGTAATCTTCAGACTGGGAACAAAAAGAGAGTTAATCAAAGTTGGTGATAAATAAAATCCACACAGAACGAGATATTAATAATGCATGTCTATGAACACTGTGTGTGTGTGCGTGCGTGTGCGTGTGTACCTGCACTCTGGGGTCTGTGCTGACTGAGTTGAGTCTCCTAAAGGAGGCTTGTCTGGAGAAGCTTTGAATTTCCTCCCTGGGGAAATTAAAGGAAATAAATACAAGTATATTTCAGTTCCTGGAAAAAACATAGTTTGTGGGTCGGCTTACGTTTTCTCGCTGAGCTCCATCTCCAGCTTCTTGTTTTTGTGTCGATGGTAGCGGTTGACCAGCAGGACGACCAGGACCAGCGTCACGACCAACGCCCCGGCCGACGCCCCGATGATGATCAGAAGCAGGTTTCCGACGGGGGTCTCACCCTGTCGTCTGGTCTCTGAAAGAAGGATAAGGACAAGAAGACATGAGGACATTTTCTTACATAAAACACAGCAACAAAAACTACAGTGATGTTGTGTTATACAGAATCTCTGATCCTGACTGATCTCTTCATGCCTTCTATCCACCACTAGAGGGCAGCAATTGTGCATAATTACTACAAATCCAAAGGAGAACTTTCTTTGTATATTTTGTTTTACTTTTTCTATCTGACAACGACTTTCACAGTTTATTACTTACATTAAGTGAAGTTATGTTATCGTCTGTTATCTATCTTAACTATTTTATAGTTAAATATTCTTTTTTTAAATGCCCTTAAAAGATATGCAACGTAAAAATCTTAACATTTGATTGTGAATTGCATTAAAATAAACACCTTATTGTGTATTTGGAAGAAAAAAATGTATCTGGAAGAAGGGATGTTATAGAAGCAAAATAGCCCAAACTCAATTGTACTTATAGATCCATGTATTGGTCCTCTCATGTCCCTATTCTACAATACCAGCAAAGCATACAGTCGCCGGAGAGTTTCCCCTTTAAAACCTTTGTGATTTGTAACGAAGCTGAAGTGCACTTACTTGTGACTGTTACTGTAAACTCTGCTGCTCCTGCTCCCACCTCGTTCCTGACCACACATTCGTAGACCCCGCTGTCATTCATGCGCAGGGCCCGCCCAAAAACTAGTTTTTCTCCAACCATGGACACCAAATCCGGCAAAGCCCCTCCTTTCCTGTGAATAATCAGAGCAAAATGTCACGATTACTTGGCAATGATGATGCACATGACATGGACTCATCAATCAAAAACATACAGAAACCTGTGACTCAACGCCCGAAACAAAAGCTGTGCAATCTTGCATTCCAGTTTAAAATATTTGTGTTGAGAAGAACAAACACATATCTATGAAAGAGGATTAGGGCCACAAGAGAAAAAATGTGTGGGATGTGACAAGAAGAGTGGCCCTCAACCTCTTCCGTAGAAACCATAACAGCAGCATTATGTGTGCAAAAAACTGGCATGCATGACGGAAATGTTTCTGCAGAAATAAATGCTACACAGGATCACCAAAGAGTGTAACCGCCAATTCACCTGCAGCTGAACCAAAACCGGCTGGGCTTACAAACTGGCGCCCATTGATGTGAATACACCCAATAAATACTAGGTTTGAGGGATTTAAGCAGGTCCGGCAAGCCCCTCTGAAGACATCACAGGCCACATAAAGGAGAGCCCGTTTCTGATCAGGTCCACTGAGGGGGTCATGTTGCATCGGTTTCACCGTGCCGCAGCAGCACCCCCCCAAACTGGAGCCAGCTCAGATTTCTTTTCTCAAAACCCCACCTAGCTTCTCTAACCAGCGCTTTGTAAAAGAGTGAAAGGTGGAGATTGCATCCGACACAGAGGAGAAGGTGGAAAATGATACAGATACAGTGAGAAATCTACTTTTAGCTGCCAAAAAGATTCTTATCTGTTTTGTGCTGCCTCACAATCTTTGTAAGGGAGTTATCAAAGCATCAAACAGTGAGATGCAAGTTGGTGTTTTTTGGTTCATGTATGCAGAGCAAGGCTATCACTTTCCCCTTGTTTCCAGTCTTCATGCTAAGCTAAGATAAATATATGAAAGTTAAAAGCTTCATATTTACTGTAGAGACACAAGAGTGGGACTGCTCTTCCTATCTAAAGCTCCAAAATAAAGTTAACAAGTACATTTCCCAATATATTGACGTATTAAGAGTTGAAAACGAACGTCTCTGGGCTTAAACACAGAATGAGTTCTTACTGATGATCGCGCCAATGGGTCTGCGCGGTTGAAAAGATTTAATCCAGAATAATCTTAATATTTCAAGATTGCTTCATTGCTGAAATATGTCTCACTCAGCACACACAACATTTGATCATTGTGTATTCAGTCGGAGCTGTAATGGCTGGTACAGTGTCTCTAATTTAAGTACAGACCCTGTGTTTTACCAGGCATTAAAGTGATATTTAAAGCATGGCACTATGATTAAGTGCTTAGCATTCGTCTCCTGCTCTTCCTTGTGTCGCGCTCTCCCCTCCCTCGTGTGAAAATATCTCCCTGGCTCTTTTTCTGACTTCAAATTGCGCAACACGACACCGCCGCTTTTATTCTGGGATGAATTGAGGCAGGATAGAAAGGCGCCCTCCTTCAGATTGAAGCACACTTCATCGTTGTTAATGGGGGGTGTAGACCGTGTGTATGCGTGTTAGCAGTGGCTTATATATGCTTGGAGACACATTCCAGTGCAATGTAAAGAGCAGGTTAGCAGCATCGCTGATAGCCTCGCAGTGGGGTGAATTAACATGTAATTGGCAGACAGCCAGACAGCCTTAATGTGTGTGTGTGTGTGTGTGTGTGTGTGTGTGTGTGTGTGTGTGTGTGTGTGTGTGTGTGTGTGTGTCTGTGTGTGTGTGTGTGGCCTAGCATTACTATACTTGTGGGGACCTAAATCTGTTTACACAGTCACGTGTGGGGACTCGCCTCCCTTATGAGGACAAAATGGAGGTCCCCATGAGGGGAATCATTAATTTTAGGGTGAAGACTTGGTTAGGTTTAGGGTTAGGTTAAGGGTTAGGCATGTGTTGGTTGGTATGGTTAAGGTTAGGATAAGTCTCCAGGAAATGCATGTAAGTCAATGTAATGTCCCCTGAAGTGATGTATACATGGTGTGTGTG